ATCATCAACTAATAGGGTTTCATGGGATTTTATGGTGATAGAATGGTGACATCATAGAATGGTTATTGTACATTATGTATCTGTTGATACAAAATGGAACAAACGATACATGGAGATTGAATTAGATCTAACTTAACCATCAAACATGATGACATTGAGGCTTTAGCCTCTGCCAATCAAACACGGGCTATCCCCAAACTAAACGGAATTTGATAGCTGGGAAAAACATCAAAGTAAATGGTATATTTTCCAGCACGCCATGTTTGATTGCCGGAGAGTAAAAGATAGTAAAAGGAAAAAAAACTTCACCGGACATCATCTGGTATTTTTTTGGGCAAACTGCACGTTTTCTCAGTAGTAAAGTCTATGACATGGGGAATTAACCCTACCTGGGGCTGCAGTTGGTAAGGTCAGAACTATGAGTTGGGACATAACCAGCCCTCTAACTATAGCGACATATAGCGACATATAGTGACATAGAACTGGAACCGCAGCCCCAAGTATGGATCCAACTATTTCCTGAGAAGGTACTTGCAAGATGGTGCCCCAGTTCGTGAACGCTAAGTTGGTGAACATAACTCCAATTTCACTATGGTTTATGATACGCAAATAACTATAGTTACTGGGGTTTATAAACCAATTAACATCACTGGGGGGCCCCACATTGTGGGAAACCCACAGGGATCCACAGGGATACATGGAGAGCGGGAATCCCGAAGATTCTCCCTTGGTAAGTGTCGCGTAAAAAAAAGTGGCGCGGAGGCCCTAAGAAATGACCAATATAATCCATAGAATCACCATGAAATCCCTAAGAAATCACTATTTTTGTTGATGAAATCACCATTAAACCACCATTTTCGTGGGCCAAAAGAAGGATTGCTGAGCGATTTTGGTGCCATCCGCTTGCGATGTGGGATCCAACATGGCTTGGTGGTTGTGCAATAACCATCCTGAAAAATGATGGAGTTCGTCGGGGTTACGAACTTCCCAACTGAATGGAAAGTCATAAAATTCCATGGGTCCAGTCAAAACCAATCAGGTATATCCCTGTGAATCCATGCCACTCAAATTATGCCCATTCGGCGAATGACAGAGGAATTTGACTAGTACAAGCATCAATGTTGGCCACCGTTTGATGATAGTCCATTGATGGCACTTTGAAGAGTCATTTAAAAAGGGGTACTCTTGAAGGGGTTGCAGTTTTAAAGCGTGACAAACCGTGATAAATCGTACCCTCTGGTAAACTAACATAGCTATGGAAAATCACATTTTTTCATGAGAAAATCCACTTTAAATTGTCATTTTCAATAGCTATGTTAAATTACCAGAGGGTAACTGGTCTACTATGTCCTACGAAAAAATCAGTCGTTTGATGGTAAAAAAATCGTGACTCACCATGACAGCCCGTGACTCACCGACCCCTTAATGCCCCATCAGTGCAACCTGCAAAACAGGGCTCCGGCAAATGACATCAACAAAAAACCAAGAACGGATGACATAAGTAGCCATCCATAGCATCTACATCAAGTGATATGAAATAAGGGCAGGATCCCTAGGATCCATTGATTTGTGAGTCGGGTATTTGTGAGCTTAATCCGTTTGTGATTGTTGAGATTGTTGAATAATGTCAGATCCCCATCATTTTTCGTCATCATCTTATCCTCCACCAGGCTGGGAACGCTGGGAAGCCAGGCAGTGGCGGCTAGGTTCACCCCTTCATCTGGGAAGTGCCAGACCTTGCGTCAGGGGCCTGGGGTAAGGTGATAAAACCATAGCCATCCATAGCCCATGGGGAGGTGAATCATTATCCCCAATTGGGCTATTTGGATGTAGGGTAAGGGGTTTCATTTTTTCGGAGACTTATGGTTGGCTTTAAGCAAATGGGCAAAAACATGCTTTTCGAAGCCTTTAGAATTGAGGCACACACTTTTCAATCAAACCCAAGTAAGCACTTTGAGACTCTGGGGGTAGTGTAAGGGTAGTGTCAACCCTGAAAAACGCTGCTTTTTGATCCATTCAAAAATCAACCAAAAACAAAACATGGCACTCAAATTATTGGAATTTCTATGGATTTTCGATGATTTTTTCTAAGTTGGGGACCACATAAATTGGTGGTTTGGGGGCAATTTTCGGAACCATCAGGAACCATCCGGGGCATTACTGAGCGCAGCTCCTCCACGTCCCCATCTTCTCTGGCGCACGCCAATAACCTGAGCCGCCCAGGTGTCTTGAAATTTGAAGCTTTGACCCGGTGTCGTCTTTTTGAAAACAAAGACAAAGATAAAATCATGAGAGTTTGTGCCTGAAAAATCCTCTTGGAATCTATTTAAATCGATGTTTAACTCTTATTTTTTTGAAAACAACGAATTAGCGGGCCAACACAATAGAAATCTGGCAAATTTCATGAGATTCATGACATGAGAAGTTGAATATTGATCATTTCACCCGTGCAAGTAGGTGTATTGATGGATGATCATACAAAATATCCAAGAGATTAGTATAATCATTAGATTGGTTTGGACCATTTACAGGAAACCCCCATGATCTTAATGGTAAAAACCATGGTTTCCGGTTTCGATTTTCCCAAGAAAAAACCAATCCATTGATATATAGTCCCCCATCACCAACCAACCACTACGGTTTTTTTCAGCTCCATGGCCATCCAGCTGAGATGCTGTGGATAGGCATAGCTCCACTGCAGGCTGGAGATGGTCGAGCTGGAGGAGGACTTCACCACCCTGGGCATCGCCTCGAGTTATCGCTGAGTTGGCAAAGAGAACTCCACGATATTCCACGATGGTTTATGGCAATTCTATGAAATCAAAACATATGATGTATACATATATTAATATATATATATATGTATAATAAGTATATATATATATGTATAGTCAATGGATGTTTTTCAAGGGATTGATACACCGGGGAAAAACCGTGCCCACCTTGTACCTGGCAACCACAATCAGGGACACTCCGAACTCTTGCGGTATACATATTATACATTGGGTTGACCCATAAAAATGATTTATGGGGGTTTCCCACAATGTGGGGCCCCCCAGTGATGTTAATTGGTTTATAAACCCCAGTAACTATAGTTATTTGCGTATCATAAACCATAGTTATTGGAGTTATAAACCAACTTAGCTATCTAGGGGGCCCCACTTTGTAACTGGGTGTACCCCCAAAATAGATGGTTTATTTCATGGAAATCCCATCTATCAGTGGATGATGACTGCGGGTACCCCCCATGACTTAGGAAACTTCCATATATAAAACATGTAAGAAACAGAAGAAGGACTAGGCACAAATGTCTATACCAAGCATATGCATTTGCCATTTATGAACATTAGATGTTCTCAATATCATCATCACATATCAGGTTTTTGCATTATATTCATAAATCCAATCAATGCAACCAATGGACAGATATTGATTCTAAATACATATGCAGTATAGGGTTAGATTAAGGCAAGCATGTTAGATGCAAATAACGATTATTATTGAAACATGCAAAGGTACACGTACGGAGAGACATCCACCCAAACCATGGGTACTTAGTACTTCATAGCTACGAGCAGGCGTGTTGACTTGCAACAATAAATCTCACCACAATCCCTATGGAACTTAATTAACATATTCATGGCATATTCATGAAAGTGGATTTTCATGTGGATTAGTACCATCGGTGTTCCCTTCAATTTTTACGCAACTGAAGATTTCCGTAAGCTTCATCGGCTTCATCCATGAGTCAACACGGCCCAGCTAGAAGGCCTTCGTTCGATGCGATCCACTGTAGAGCACCAAGCCCCCCTGACACGGGAGGCTTTCCCAACTCCGTGGCCATTTCCCCCGAAAAAAAAACGCTTCACAAATCGGTGTGCGACTCGGTTTGGGTCTCAAAACTACGCACCTGTTAACTAACTAGAGTAACTAGAGGGTACCCTCTGGTAAACTAACCTAACTATGGAAAAACACCATTTTCAATGGGTAAATCCACTATTTCTATGGCCATTTTCAATAGCTATGTAACAAATTACTATAGGGTACATCCATACAGTGGATGGTTGCGTTTTTTCCTGCACCCAGTTTTTGTCAACGGCGCTTCATCCCATTATTCATGGGATAGATGTCCCAAATTCTCATTGGTTGGTTGATTAACCATAAGTGTTCTGGTTATAAAATGTTATAAATATAACCAATAAGGTTAACATGTTATAAATAAGGTTATAATAATGTTTACCACTATTTACCACTATTAATAATCTATTAATAGGTTATTAAACATCCCATTCTTCATAGGTTTTCAACATGTTTCAACCATCCTTTTGGATCCGGTGAAACCCCCGGAGCTCGCTCGCTTGGCTCCTCCCCCTGCCAGGAGACGGCGAACATGTCTGGGCGGTGTACCTCAAGTCACCGACTGGGTGTTGAAGATCTGAGTCATGTTGTTGTCATAGTCTAAGAGGATATATCTGGGTAAATTACAATCTGGTTGGTGGTATACCTACCCCTCTGAAAAATATTAGTCAATTGGGATGATTATTCCCAATATATGGACAAATAAAAAATGTTCCAAACCACCAACCAGCAATATTTCACGTTCACCTGAATAGTTCGGATAGTTCGGCCATAGAAGGGGATGATTTCCCATACATTCACCATGATTCCAGGCTTCGGGAGAACAGGGTTCGGTCGTTATAATTTACCCAGATATATGACCTAGCGGAAACCTCCACATTGAATTGTTCATGTCACCGCTTGAAAAATCGATATATGTAACTCGCTGGCAAAGTCTTGATTCTTGATCTTGCAGTCCAAATGCCCCATGCATGTCTTCTCTTTTCCCCACGCGGGAGTCTCGCGCGCATGGTCAAGGCTTTTTGCTTGTTGCTATCTACGGTTCCTACAAGCCTATCTACACCCCCAAAAAGTTGAACATGGTACACCAAACCAAACCAGAGCCCTTTCGAAGCACAAATTCACTATTGGACAGGTCCTGACAAAGTTTCATGTCAACCTTTCAGGGGAGTTTACCTAGATCTAAAGATATTTCTGGCGTTGCTCTCAGATGTAACAGCTTTGAAAACCCCAATGGCTGGGGGCCACAGATAGCGCAAACCGCTCATCTGTCTTTGCCCCAAATTTGCCCTTTCTTCGCTGCAATCCTGGGTCAACACCCCAGCCAACTGGGTGGTTGGTAGTTAGTGTCTAGGCACCCCAACCAAATTAGTGAAGGAATATTAATCATGAATGGATATAATTTCAGATCAGTGTCTCCAATAATCATGGAACATACATGCAATGCCCTCCGGTAATCAAACTTGGCAGTGGACATTTATCCATTTACAGTTGATAATACCACTAAAACCTATTAATACTAAGTTACTATATACATTTACGGGGAATTGTCCAATACCACGTTTTTTTGTTTACCGGAGGGTAAGACATCTTGGAAATCACTCACCAGGCTTCTCACCGGCAGCCAGGTCTTTGCACCTATACCTACACCCATAAATCATAAATGTCATAAACCTATCAGGGCAGCTAAGAACCCCCATTAAAAAAACATGTATTTTTCTGTGCAGGAAAATGTCAATCTAGAGACACTTTAAGAATGATATTAATAATGATATCCCATATGCTCCATGGTGCTGGAATATTTACCAACATAAAAACCCCATAAATGAGCCAGTTTTGTAGGTAAATATACTATACATGGAGCATCTGGGTATGTCTCATTATGTCTCTTGGATGGTGCATGATGTTCTCATTGCGGAAATTGGGCCGGAAAATGGACGTGCAGACTGCACTGGCTGGGCCAACTTTCAGGTTCCGCCCCTATCTGAAAATGATTACCGCTGATTTGAACATGAATACCTACCAATTATGGCCATATTGAAGTCAACAATATAGTACAATGATGATTAAATGATGATTTTAAAAAATAACCTTAAGAAATTTAGAGGTGTCGTGTAAATGGAGAACAAAGCCATAAATTGGTGATTATCAATGATCATGATTGAGAATCATTATCATTGCCATCTGGTTATTTAGCATAGCCATGAAAAATCCCTTATAAATGGAGGTTTATAGCTGGGAAAATCATCTATAAATGGGTCATTTTCCATGGCTATGTTAAATAACCACAGGGTATTTGTTGCCATATTTACCAAGCATCTCTTTCAAATGATCAAAGGAGAAGAGCGATCGATGCTCATTGGACCATCGAATGTACATGGCATAGCGCCCTGCGGAACTCAGCTCCTCACGGTGCCCCGAAATCTGACATGAACCAATGACCTTTGGGCCTTTGGGCCTTTGGGTTTATGGCAGATATTTATAATATATATATATATGCAGATATAGAATGATATATATATAGTTGCTATGGTTGTAGATGTATCATGATGCATAGTATCTATCCCAGATGCTCCATGTATGGAATATTTACCTACATTTACCCCAAAAATGACCCAAATGTAGGTAACATTTCCATACATGGAGCATATGGGTATAGTTACCAATGGTTTATATACCAACTTATAACCCAGGGGGGCACCACCCTGTGGATCTCGCAAATTCCCTTGTAGAGTTCAACGACTTCGAAGAAACGACCTTCTGCAGTTCTATATGGCAGTCCCCTGCTAGAATTTTCCGACAAATGCAGTGTGCCCTGCTTGGATCAGCAAGGGTGAGACGTTGAGAGGAGTTATGGCTAAACAACATCTACCCTCTGGTTTGCTCATACATGGCAATGGGAAATCCCTACAGAATGGAGGTTTTTATGGGAATGGGAACATTATCTATAAATGGCGGGTTGTCCCTTATTACTGGAGGGGAGCTGAAACCACCATGCCAAGGGCAAAGGTGATTCTCAAGAGGAGCAGGGAACCACTGTCAGCATCGTCAGCACGTCGAGCAAAATAAGAGTCAGCACTGCAAACCACGCAAAGGCAGACACATGACAAACAACACAAACAACAGAATCGACACTGAAAGCAAGCGAGCACCAACAATGGAAGCAACTACGCTCCCCGAATTAACATATAGACCTTGTGGGTTGGAAGATTATGTCGGTTTCCACTAACATTTGCTATTTTTAGGGTGTATTTTACGTTAAAAAATACTAGGAGAGTAAGTACCATGTGAACCATGCTAAGCACGGGACTTAAAACCCGTTACCAGTTATTCTTCTACAAGTTATAAGTCTTACTATAAGTGGGCTTATTATTCCATGAATGGGGTGACTTGCTGACTTATAAGTCCTATAGGCCTATAGGATTATAGGCTGTAAAACACATCATTATGAATCCAAGTCGCAAGGGCCGTCACATTCTGTGGGATCTCATCATCTCGGAAAAGACGCTTCCCAGTCATTTCGTCGCGCATCTTAGCCTCGGCACACGATTTTTTCGGGGTACAAGGTGAGGCCCCTCCAAGTAGAAGTGGGTTTATGACCCCCAAATCACTCACTATTCACTATATTACTGTATATCATGTCTATTTTGTGTATATAATTACATAATATTATATATATATATATATATATCTGCCAAATTACAATATTTTACTAACCTGAAATAAAGACATTTGGGGATAATTCCCCTTACTAACCATTGTTCCCGTGGGGGAGAACAGTGAGGTCGCTATAATTTACCCAGATCATCCCAGATCTATAGTATAATGTAATGAATATCCTCCATAAACCCTTGTTGACCAAACTATACAAGTCAATTTAGATACTACCAACGATGCAATGGAGACAGACTAGGACTGACCATCTTGGCCGATTTCTTGGGGGCAACAAAGAACATATCTGACATCACCACCACAACCCCTGGGAACAGTTCATGCCAACCTGCTCACATCTACTAAGCACATCACTGGAATTGGAGCCCTAGAGCTGGCGCAATAACTGGCTACCCATCATACTAATGGTTTATAATGGAGTATAATCCAGTTCCCAAACACCCTCTGGGAATCCAATATAGCCATCATTTTCCTTCTCGCCCCTGGGGCTGTGTTTTGCCAAAACACGGAGCGGCATTCCAACAGCACCTCCCTGGCAGCGATGGCGAATTCCCCCTCCTCGCTGCGCAAAATCAGCAGCGCCCCGGCCACTTCGGACCGCAGGGAAGGGCGGAAGGCGCCTGGCGGGTGGGGGCGCCGTGTTGGCCTGGACAAAACAAACAAAGAAACGTGAGGTACCCAGGTACCCAGACGCAAATACCAGAAGAAAATGGCCAAACATGTGTACTGAAGTACTAAGATAATGGGTAAAACCATTGTAAAACATAGTTTCTTTAAGGGTATACTTGGAGGTTCTAGCTATTTGTATGTCAACAGCATTTTTCTTGGGAATATCTTCAAGCTGAGACGATCAAGATATACATCAGGGGAGGTGACTTGTCACCCCGGTCGCTACGGATCCAATGAAGGTGCCGTTGCCACAAAAGCTGGGGGTATGGCTTTCCAACATAGATTAAGGGTGCGAGGCCGCAAGGCCCAGGTGCAACTCCGTTGGAAACAACTTCCATGTGCACTTTTAGTTCAGATATGTGATCAGTGTTGGATATGTGATAGATATGTCGGTTGTACCTAGGGATGTTGAACCGTTTGCCAAAAACATATTCAAAAACGAACATCATCCAATATCATATTGTCAAACATGTGCTTAAGAATTGCCATTGGGGCCATATCATAACTTTGGCACATATGTCACACAAGCATTGAATTTAGTTAGGCTAAACATGCAGTCAATAGGTGAGATACGGTATCTGCGTGCAGAGATCATCGGACACAACATCAACATGCTTCCAATGATCAATTTAGGACAATTGATATATAATATATATGTTCATACAGCATTGATTTTTCATCTTGAAACCATACACAACAAAAACTGACCCTTTGTGTTTTTATTTTTTAAATGAAACTAGAATATACCCTCTGGTGAACTAACATAGCTATGGTAAATGGCCATTTATAGTGGATTTCCCTATGAAAAATGGTGATTTTCCAGTTCGCTATGTTAGTTTACCAGAGGGTACTAACCGCTGACCTGATGTTTTTTCTCCAGAAACTACGGACAGACCGGCCTTTCAGTTCCTGCACTGCAGCCTGCGCCTGGGCGGGGTCGGGTTCTTGGTCCATTGGTTCCGTTGTGGGAATAGATCTTGAAAGCATGGAAACAACAAGGATCAATGGGAATTCCAGGATCCCAAAATGGAGGTACTGTACCATATAAGGCCATATTTTGGAGGGATATCCCCTTACATAGCCCTGAAAAATAAGCCTTATATATGGTAGGTACCTACAATTTAGGTTCCTGAAATGGCCATTTTTCAAGGACAGAATGGACAGAATCACCTGGAAATCCTGGAAATCACTGGACTCTCGTCAGTGGGTTTCGGATGACATCCCAAAAACATGAAATGGACTATTTAAAAAAATGTTTTAGAAACCACCAGAAATAGTCTACATTGTTGGTCCGGGCCAATGCTTTCTGTTTTGCTGTTCCCGTGGTCGTTCTAGTCTTCCCTCGTCTTGAAGTTTGTACCATTGTTTTGAATTTTCTTCGGCTTTTGTATGTGTTTATTGTTTTGTTGATTTTTTAAAAAAAAATATTTGTTGGTTTCCAATAAGATGAAGCATTTTGCATCATAAGTCTACCAGTGTTTCACTATAGCTCTAAGAAACTTCTGCCAAAGCAGATTGGGATATGTCCAGAAACGCAACCCACGTTAGTTGTTCTTCTATCAAGGCGCTCACTCCCATGTCACGGCGATCTTTTTTGGGTTCATCATGGTTCATTGAGCCAGACTAACACCATTGGATTTCCTGAAGTGCGGATGGGTCAAAACCCTGGTACCTAGTGAACCCCAAAATAGCTGGTTAATGGATGTTCATCCCACTAAAATGTATCTATAGGTATTGACCCATACCCAAGTTGTCTACAGCATCTACAGTGTCCTGTAGCATCCTATAGCCAGTAATAACTGGCTCAGAAGCCTGCATTGAAGTCATATTTTTCACCGACCATGTTTCAGGAGTTTGTTCATCCCATTACCATCTGGTAAATTAACAGTTTGACCCGCCAATTTAACTCATTTTCCAGGCCCTATCTGGCAGGGTCTACGTTAATCTACCTGAGGGTGTAACTAGATGTAACTAGCTTATACAAGGTTGTGCCCCATAGCTAAGTTGGTGCAAATAACTCGAATTTCACTCGGGTTTATGGTTATATCGACCTGGTTCCTACAATGTATAAATTACCACCTGGCACAGGATGGTCCCCCCTAGTTATAAGTTGGTCAAAAAAAACTCCCATTCGCTATAGTTATAGCATAAACATGCATAAACCATAGAATTCAGCCACTTATATGGCAGTGTGTCAAAACCTTGTACCCCTGGTGAACATCAAAATAGCTGGTAAATGGATGTTCATCCCCCTAAAAATGGTATTAATAGGTATTGATCCATACCCATATCTTAACTGAACACTATCAACTGGGGGCCCATCCTGTGCCATACCTTGCTGACGCCGTTCCGGAGGCACTTCTTTGGCCAGGCGTTGATATTCCCGTCGCAGCATCTCGGCAATGCTGGAAGAATCATCCTCCAGGATGAAGGGAAGACCTGCGGACAGGAGGTTGGTAGGATCAAGGGGGGGGTTATGGTAACTGGGTAACTGGGTGGTGAAACACCCTAGGATAGACTATGATTGTGGCTTTGTCTGAAAATCTTAGGGGAAAAACCCCAAAATTTGATGATATTTTCTTCATTTTGAAATGGCCATTCGGTGGCATATCATATTTTCAGACACATCGAACCATTCCAGTGGACTGGCATAGGATACGAATCCTCGTCTTTGTACCTTTGGGCTTTGCCATGATTTTGGTGGATCTGTGTCCCTGTCATTTTCCAACTATGTTCGGGCATGTCTCTGCCGCGCATTTGGCTGAGATTCTTTGAAATGAGTGGGTCTACAAAATTCTCCAGTCGATGTTGTAACCTCATTCCCACACCCATATCCTGGGCAATATTAGTAACTGGTTGGTGGTGCAATAACCATCTTGAAAAATATGAGTTCGTCAATGGGAAGGATGCCATCTATATGAAATGGACAATAAAACATCTTTGAAACCACCAATCAGTGTAACGATCATCATTGAATATCATTGAAATCCAGCACTCAGTCCGTCAGGGCGTCAGTGCAACTTCTTCAAAAGCTGCAGTTGAGGCTCCAGTCCGAGACAGTGCGGGGCTCAGAGGAAATCTGAAGAAACGTGGGATGCCAAAGTCTTTCGCCAACTTTTCCTGATGAAGCCGATGAATCCGACCACGCAGATGAGAGGCCAACACCACGTATCCGAGGTATGTTGTCTATGGTAATCACTATTAATCACTATTAATCACTATTAATCACTATTAATCACTATTAATCACTACTAGTCACCCATGAACCTATTAACCTTCAATTAATCACTATTAATCACTATTAATCAACCATTAATCATCATTAATCATCATTAATCACTATTAATCAACCATTAATCACTACTAGGTAGTACCAACCACTATCCGGTTAGGGGTATACCTACCCCTCTGAAAAATATGAAAGTCACTTGTGATTATTCCCAATATGATGGGAAAAAAGTCATGTTCCAAACCACCAACCAGTTATAGTATCATCATAACATACTGTGGATGGTTGCGAAATCCTGCACCAGTTGGCAGATAGTAAACATCCCATTATAGGTTTTCTACCATCCCAGGTGGTGCAGGATTTCGCAACCATCCACAGTATCCATATATCAATGGATTGGTTTAAGGGAAAATCGAAACCGGAAACCATCGATTTTCCCATTAAATATGGGGCTTTCCTAACCATAGTGTGGAAACCTCGCCTCATCAAATCTCTAAGCGAATCAGAACCGTGATCTGGAGAGAATTGGGGAGCTCAGGTAGCTCCAATATTTCGATGGCTACTATAGACATTCCAATCTCATCAATCTCTGTTTAACAACTATTAGTAACTATTGACCTTCAACTAATCACTATTAATCAATATTAATCACTATTAATCACTATTAGTCACCTATGAACCTATTAACCTTCAATTAATCACTATTAATCACTATTAATCACTATTAATCACTATTAATCACTATTAATCAACCATTAATCATCATTAATCATCATTAATCACTATTAATCACTATTAGTCACCTATGAACCTATTAACCTTCAATTAATCACTATTAATCACTACTAACCACTATTAATCACTATTAATCACTAGTAGTCACCCATGAACCTATTAACCTTCAATTAATCACTATTAATCACTATTAATCACTATTAATCACTATTAATCAATATTAATCACTATTAATCACTATTAGTCACTATTAATCACTATTAATCACTATTAGTCACCCATGAACCTATTAACCTTCAAATAATCACTATTAATCACTATTAATCACTATTAATCACTATTAATCACTATTAATCACTATTAGTCACCTATGAACCTATTAACCTTCATTTTTTGGAGCCGTTTTGACCCAGCTTCGCTGGAACCCTGGAAGATCTCGTGGCGTTTGCCGCAGCCGTCGCAGACGAAGAAGGACATGTTCTCCACAATGGCGGCCGTGGGGATCTTCACCTGTCGCTTTCGCCGGGCCGGGCGAATGCTCCTGCAATTGGTTGGTTAATGTTGGTTATATGTGTATATGTATATATATATATATGTATGTATATGTATGTGTATATGTATATGTAAATGTACATGTATATGTATGTATATGTATGTAAATGTATGTATATATATATGCATGTATTTATGTATGTATTTATGTATGTATTTATGTATGTATGTATGTATGTATGGTGCTATAGAGGGTCCCAAAACAGTTCGCCAACAGTCAGAATAATTCTGCCAACATGGTAGTCGAGGAGAGCAAGCGCACATATTTGATTTTCACAGCCAGATCAACAGCAAGTTGAGATTCGAAATGGCCATAGACCATCAAGTTCCAAGTTGGCTGATGATTTGAACCATCCAACCGGATATATAATGAATAAAATATGATATATAATAAATAATATATAATAAATAATATATAATATATGATAAACAATATATAACATATAACATATAACACATCATATATAATAAATAATATATAATATATAATATATAAGATATAAGATATAAGATATATTATAAAATATATAATATATAATATGTAAATATGGAAATATGGAAATATGGAAATATAAACCAAATATATATATATATATATAATGCAACATGTATAATATATAATATATATATATTAATATATTATATATAATACATTCTAGATTATAGATTATATTATATATATATGTACCCTAAAGCCATCCATTCACCTCATTCTGAGCCAATTTATGTATTGCGAGCTTGCAACATCATTCCCATTCATTACAAATCAGTCCAAAGAGATTAACAGGTGGCCATTGCCCGATGAAACATGGTATACCAGGAGTTTCAGAGTCACTCCACTCAAGAGGTCTGTTACAACGCAAAACCCACAACCTCTAATTTTTTGTGGATAGATTTCTTCTTCTATATTTTTGAACATCGGACCGCATTGTTAGTCATATTGGGATACCCCAACCAAGGCATCAAGAGCAACCGCCCCGTCGCCTGGTCGAACATGCCTCGGCTGCAGAGGATAACTACCAATTATTAAATTCGCATAGCCATCAACACGCATTTATACAGAGACAATGCCAAACAAGTGTGTACTCCCACCTTTATCATCATTTCTGAAACAAATACACTCTGACAGATGGGCCATGGAATACTCATACATTCCCAAAAACAGCAGGCCATATCGTGGGATATAAACCAGACACCTATCGTACAAGCTGAAGAAAAACTCCATGGCTCATCTAAGAGTCGCCTACGGCTGGATGTGCATCCATCCCAAAAAACAAACAAGTCATTTTCCAAAACACAAATGTTTTTTGAAATGATATTCCAACATATCCCAACTATAGTTAATAAATGTTAATAATAACTTGAGATATGTCCATCCTATGGTCATACTCTCCATTTCCTGGGGCTGAATCGCAACGCGCCAAGCTTCGGATGCCCTTCTCCACATCCACCAGACTCAGCTGCTGCGGCGTAGTGATGACGATGGCCGCATCGAGGGCGGCCTGCCCACCAGGGCCACCAGGGCTCCAGGGTGGATGGGTTGTAGGGAATGTTTCCGGGGAAACCAACCGGCAAACCAAGATAGCCACACTTACCTGTGAACATAGTGATTTTATGTGATTTTCCACTTCGCGAACTGTAAACGTTTACCAGAGGGGAAGGGAAACCATGGGCTTGTACCACTAAATGTAAGGGTCTCCATGGGTCTCAATGTATTTTTCAACCAATGCTGGGAGGTCAAAACATCTCAGCCTCGTTTGTTGGTGTCCTTTCACTCAGTTCTCCCACATGATCGCAACATCTGCACAACATCTTCCGTGCCTAGCATTTCATGACATTCCCAGTGTTCATGGTCCGCCAAGTGGGTTTGATATCCCATTTCCAACAAATACGAAACTTAATTAGAAAACCAGGGAGTTGGATGCATCTAGAGGTGCCTCATTTCAGAGAAACCCAGGAAAGCAAAGTTTCCTCGTCCCAACATGTTTCACGCCAAAACGTCGCCTCCTGAGCCACTGTGAGATGGATATCCCCGGTGCCCGGAGGCAAGTCGATGAGCAGACAATCCAGCTCGCCCCACCTAGAGAACGGGGCCAGCTAAACAGCAGATATTGATCATGGAAAACCTTCACGTATCTTTGATACGCTCATAAAACACGGTAAAACAAGGTAAAACTTTTATATACCGTATTCCAAATAGATCGCCTTAAACGATGGATGAACGAAAATGGGAACAAACGCAAATCATCTTCAGCAAAGCCAGGCTGTAAAACACTTCAAGGCCCGACGCTCTCAAGCTTCGGGGGTATGACATGCTAGGCATAGGACGACATCACCCCCATGACCAGCTTCAAAAAAACAATGAAGACGCTTGGTGCTGTGATGCGTCATCAAGCTGGCTTCCCATATAGGCAGGAAAGCAACAGTAAAAACAACTACCTGAGCCATAAATATCCACAATGAGTTAGAACATTACTGCCCACGATAGTGATTTAGTAAGTTGTATTTGTATCCGGCTCTCTTTCGGCGCCAAATCACTCTGTGGTGGTCAACATCTGCTTCACCATTGCAGATGCCATAGGTCCGCGGATCGGCGCATGCTCACCTGACAATACTGAGGGGAAGCTGTTAGTTCTCCGCGCAAGACGTCTTGCTTCAATGTGATTGACGGTTTCTTGCTGTGTCTCAATGGTCTGCACTACTTCTAGAGAAAACCAGAGAAGCCAGGAAGAAAAAAACTTCTCTGGTTGGTGGTTTTAACCATCTTGAAGAATATGAAAGTCAATGGGAAACATTATCCCATATAGTATGGAACATAAAAAATGTTTGAAACCACCAACCACTTCTTGTTTTCTGCGCTTCCCGGTGCTTTTCCATCACGCTTTTACGCCCAAGATCTTGGCTGTTTAGCGGTGCACCTGGTCTCAGAAAGCCCATGGACATCAGAGGCACTCCTGGTGACTTTCCACCAAAACCAGCGAAGTCAACGCAGAAAAATCAAAAGATCATTCAGGTGATCTTATAAATACTGACCTGGTTGGTGGTTTCAATCCCTCTGAAAAATATGACGAATCGTCAGTTGAGATGATGAAATTCCCAACTGAATGGGAAGTCATGAAATTCATGTTCCAAACCACCAAGCAGTTATATAAGGACACTGACCAACCTGAGTCCAACCCAAAAAGAGAGCCGGCGATGAGCGATTTTCATCATCCCAGAGGTCCCCAACTTTGAAAGCTGGCTGCTCAAGGGACCGCCAATGCCAATTTTCTATCGGGTTAAAACAATGTCATAAACCATCCATGACTGGGAATGATTTATACCAGCCATGGTGAAATTGGGGATGGTTGATTATGGTTTTACCATGTTTTACCAACATTATATCATATTATATCAACTCAGCTAACCCAAGGTGTGCTTTGAAGATCTCTGATGAATTAGCTGGTGAAGTATGGGCCGGTTTCAGTGGGTCGCCACGTCAGTGGCCTTGAAAATACAGCGGTAGAATACCTCGGAACGCTGAAAGCTGCCAGCATGCTACCAGCGTCTCCAGGGTATGGGCTACCAAGAATCGACTCAATGGATTCAAACAGTTGGTTGTTTTGAGTTTAGAATCATCCATTTTGGATGTCCAATAATTTTCAAACATTTTCATGTCATCTATATTAATCAAACCAGACATCAAGACTGACGCTTCAGACAGGTTGACATCGTCATTTTCAGCAGGGGGCCCTGGATCGTGTTTTTTTTTACAGCCCTTGGGATCCAGGTGTTTTTTCCACCTTTCATCATGGTCAATCTTTGATAGTCCACAAAAGTACCCTCTGGTAAACTGTTACATAACTATGGAAAATCACCATGTTATAGCTGGGTAAATCCACTATTTCGACTGGGCCATTTTCAATAGCTATGTAACAAATTACCAGAGGGTAATAGTTTGCATCCTTTGCAGGTTATGTTCTTATTTTCCATTTATAGCAAAAAAAAGAAAGGATATTCCATTACCCACCCAGTCGGTCGGGGACGACATGAAAAACGAACTTCGCCAGCTTCGGCAGCTTCGCCACGGAACCTCCTCTGTCCGAGCCATAGACTTTCTCAGCCACACTAGCCTTGGTTTTCCAAACATGTTGGGGACTTTTCGGTATATCCCTGGTTAAGCACACTTTGGAAGAAAAATCCTCCCAACCATATGGGTTGATCTGACAATTTGGTATACACCCAAAGAGGGAAAATGATGATAAATCGATGGATGTGGAGGCTCATTTTGAAGAGGTATCAATAGCAATACAACTCCCCTACAATCATCAAATAAGCCAGAGCAAGCGATCCCAAATTTTGGGGTATCTGAAAGTCTTAGACTTCGTGGGCAAGTACGTGGCATCGCTGATACTTGAGACGTGGCTTGGCCGATCGGATTTATCGTATGAACAATGTGAAATACTTGTCACATGGAAAGTGGATGAAAGTCGTTTTTCAAATATCAAATCAACCCAGAGGTCGGTACCAATCAAAGGTATAGGTTCTTCAATCTTGGTTAATACCCTTTTTTTTATGGTTACTGTAAATCCCAGTCTGGATAAACCCTCATGTTTGCTGCTGAAAATTTCCCAAAGTTTGCTACCCTCTAGTAAACAAAGAGTTTGCTATTGAAATGCTATTGAACATGGCCCAGTCAAAAAATAGTTGATTTACCCAGCTATAACATGGTGATGTTCCATGGTTTTTTGTATGTTTTTTGTTATGATTCCATGGTCATTTCCTTGGTCTTTGCTGGATCCAAGCAGCCGGAACCATGGTAGGAAGTGACGGACCATAGATGTCCGAGTCCAGGATGCCAACCTACGAAAGGTGCCGATGATGGTTGCCACAGATTTAGATGGGTGATGGGTTAGTTAGTTAAGCTGTTAATGACTCAGTCACACCCAAATATATATATATATATATAATGATATATATATAATATATTTATGTATGTACTTATATTACAATATATATATGATTATGTATATACGTACAATCAGCTAATAATGGGCTATAAGGCAGTTACTAACCAGCTTGATTAAACCGTGGCCGATCCAAGTACAAGTTATACGTGGAGCTATATGTTCTACAAGTCTGATGAGTTTATTCCTGGGCCTAAACTAGAGATATAGCTTTGAGGTATTTTCGGTCCTTTGGGTATGCAGAGTAATTAGTTATGACCCCATCAAAATCCGGGTGGTAGCTGGGAGCACCTTCAGCCCCATGTACTTCTGCATGGTGTAGGCCAGGTTGACGCAAACCTCACTGGCGGCTACGCAGCTACAACCCTCGTTTCCATCCACTTGAAATGTATCCACAGCTTTGAAGAACCAACAAAGAGTTGTACCTTCAATCACTTCCCGATTCCACTTCCACTATAGTCTACAGTAGCAGTTTTGGAAATCTCTAGCTCGGCATCGCTGCACACAGAATATGAGATAGAACTGCTGCTTCAATATCGATCCTTGCATTATATGTTCAAGTACCAATCATGAAGATCCACATGGCATGTTTGTTGTTTAGTTCTCCATATAATTGGTATCTATGTTGTTATGCTGTTCAGTTACGTGCCAAACACATATTATGTGTGGTATAGATGTCTTGAAATAGTCAAAAATACAGATTGCAAATAGGCACAAATACCAATATACTTGAATTTACTCAGGGTTTTCCATGGGAAAATCAAGGTTGATGTAATTTACTTGTAGATCCACTATGTCAGAAAGCAAAAAACATAGTGCCCAAATAAAGATGCCAGTTTTTCTGTTCCAATATCCCATCCTTGGGCATATAAAATATCCATAAGCTTCCAGCTACCTCGGAGACAGGTCACCAGGGTGATTTTACCTGATGATTTTGGGGTGGTCTACCTGTCTGATAAATAACTGGAAGGTGTTGGTAGAGTAAAAGAGTCATCCCTCCACGAACAAAATTGGAGAGCTTCAAGTTATTGTTTCGACACATGGGCGACTGGCCTAAGTAGGTATGCAACCTTTTAGCCCTTTAGCCTTTGATCATTGGATTGGTTTCAGGGAAAATTAACACGAACCCCCCTATATTTAATGGTAAAAACCATGGTTTCCGGTTTTGATTTTCCCAAGAAAATCAATCCAATGACTTAAAGAAGTCCCTGCCTCATCGTTATTCCTACGGACATGAACCCATATATACCAAGGTTTTCCGCAGCTTCGTCAGGACACTGAGCTTTTTCCGACACCACCCTTGCCGGAAGCGACCGCCAGCACAGATTGAACCTGCAAGGCGCCAGTGTTTTGGAATTGCTTCAGATATCGAGATAAATGGCAGTGTGTCAAAACCTTGTACCCCTGGTGAACATCAAAATAGCTGGTAAATGGATGTTAATCCCCCTAAAAATGGTATAAATAGGTATTGATTCATTCCCATGTGGATAAGTTAACATAAACTTGCAAATTATAGTTAACATAGTTCCCAAACATACCATTCCCATGCCAAACATTGTACGAGTAGCCCTGAAATTGGTGGATTCACTGATTCACTCATATTCTGGAGGGTTTTCGGTCACTTGGAATCCCCATCAAAGCCGCTTTTTTAGATGTGGCAATTCATCTAGCTGTAACAGATTCGCAAGCCCCACACGCACAAAGTTCGTGTCTCAAGACTTTTAGATGCTTTGAAAGTGCGAGACACCTAGGTACAGTACCATCTGGTTGGTGGTTTTTCCCTACCCTCTGAAAAATATGAGTTCGTCAGTTGGGATCATGAAATTCCCAACTGAATGGGAAGTCATATGAAAAATATGAAAGTCAGTTGGGATCATTATTCCCAATATATGGGAAAATCAAACATGTTATATAATAAAATTCATGTTCCAAACCATCAACCAGATCAACCAGTTTTAGAAACACACAGGTTACCTGTCTCGCTGATTTCCTCTCCCAGAGCCCGTGCAACTCTTCAGTCCTTGGCCAATCCATTCCTGGGGATGGTCGTAATGGGTTGAAGCATGGCCAGTTTTCCAACGAATTGTGAGAAAACACCGTGGAAAACCCACCTTTTTTCACCTGGCTATAGCAGTTCACCTGGCAAATCCACCATTTTTTTTACATCAATGGATTGGTTTAAGGGAAAATCTCTAACCGGAAAACCCCATGATCTTCATGGGAAAATCGGGTTGGTTTCCGGTTTCGATTTTCCCAAGAAAACCAATCCATTGACATCAGTGAAGTATGCACGACCAAATCTCATTTCGCATCTTCGATGTCTCTATGTGTCTCTGACCGATCAAAAACCCGTGGGGCCGCTGGGAACCGAACCCCACAACTGGAGGTTTGCTATCGGCTTTAAAATATGAACATGTTTAACTGTTAATTGCTTACTAACATCCGAAGATTCATCTAGATTGCGATTATAGACACACACACTCACATATATATATATATAATGAGATTTAGCCAATCTTTAGCACATCCAAGTTCACGTTCACAATAAACATCAAGCAATGAGTTATCCGTATATTAAACCAGAAAACGCCACATAGAAACCCATAAAATGATACTAAACCACTGAACCACCATAAAAGATCCATGTGTTTTGTGGCTATACCCTCTTGTAATTTGTTACATAACTATTCAAAAAAGGGCCATAGGAATCGTTAATTTACCTATTCGACATGGTGATTTTCTAGTTCGCAAACTGTTAGCTTACCAAAGGCTACATCTTTCAATTCACCATTAATCACTTGTTTGCTATTGTGTTTATTAATCACTATCAACGCTTAATCAGTTTATTAATCACTATTACTTACTATTAATCACTATTAATCACTATTAATCACTATTAATCATCATTAATCAACCATGGATCACTACCAACCACTATCTGGTTGGTGGTTGACCTACCCCTCTGAAAAATATGAGTTCGTCAGTTGGGAGGATTAAAACCCCAATATATGGAAAGTCATAAAATTCATGTTCCAAACCACCAATCAGCTATAGTATCATCATAACATACTGTGGATGGTTGCGAAATCCTGCACCAGTTGGTAGATAGTAAACATCCCATTAATCACTATCAATTGCTATCACTCGGAAAATCACCAGACCATCGTCCCGCGCCACCAAGCAGCGGCTTCGATGGCGAGGCAAATCGACGGCGCCTGCCAGGCCATGGACCAAGCGCTGTTTTTCTTTTTTTTGATTGATGATTAAGACATGAATGACTTGGGTACATACCATGTATATATGATATATATATATATAGAATGTATATATATAACATATATACATATATATATATACACATTATAATATAATTATATATATATATATATATATATATATTCTTTTTTCAGTATGGCAAGAATTGAGTTGTTCAAGCCACTTCGTAAATCTAACTGGGATGCACCTTCCAAGTAACTGGTTGGTCACCAGCAACTGGATGCTGGAAAGGTTCACCATAGGAAACGAGGTCGATGCAGGTCAGTTTGCTATTGAAAATGGCAATTTTTAGTGGATTTTCCCATAAAAAAATGGTGATTTTCCATAGTTATGTAACAGTTTACCAGAGGGTAGTTTCACAAGAAGTGACCTGTTATGATGTTGATGGGTGAAGTTGCCGAAATCACAAAACAAATTGTCTTTATCCACTTGTGTTACACTGTTCTATCCACTTTTGTTTGGCCTTTTAACATGGTAGAAATATCACTTGGAATGGCCTACCAAGAAAATTTGGCTGTGAACCAGCTAGTCCCGTCCCCGCACCTAGCAAGCGTCGAAGCCGCCGAAGAGCCCACACATGTCTTCAGCATCACCACATTGGCCAGCTCCGGAGCAGCTTCAGGTTATTGCTGTGGATCAAAACCCATGGAATTCCTTGCGTTTCACAGCAAATTAGCTGGAATTTCTGGATGGTCAGAATAAGTTTTGAGCCATCACCATAAAAGGCAGCAAAATATGCTACAGTCTAGAGATAGAATCTGACTTCAGAGGCGCTAATTCCGTACAGAAACTTTTGGTATTCGGAAGTTTCCGACATCACGCAATAAAATCTCAACACATGAATATCGTGCTTTACAAGTCCCAAACTGGCGGATCAAAAGTTCCCTTTCGACGGATCGAGCCATGCTACATTCAGGAATGGTAGGTACCTACGAACCTACGACTCGGTAAGTTGAGACAGAAACCTACGTGAATCTGCGTTCCCATCAACGAAATCTTTGCTGACGCATTGAGAGTTTCAGATTATATATGATATCAATTATTATATATATATGTGTATATATATATATCAATATATCATAATATATTATGTCAATAAGTAAAACGTTCCAAAACCTGATGCATGGCCTTGCTATCCAAGACATTAGTTTTCGGCCATTCAAATAGCCTGTCTCTGAGAGCCCTATATGACTTGGAGCCTCGAGCAGCTGGGGGATCTGCGAGTGATGCCAGGCATCGTCACTGGAAAATGACCGTTCCCAGCTGGTGTTTAGCTCGCAAAAAGAATAACTGGTTGGTGGTTTCAACCTACCCCTCTGAAAAATATGAGTTCGTCAAATGGGAGTAAGAAATTCCCATATATATATATATATGGAAAAAACAAGTTCCAAACCACCAACCAGAAGTGAATGGCTACAACCCCTTTCCAGTTCCGGTTGAAGGTTTCTATCTAAGTCACCGCCCAAAATGGGATGCTTATGCAAACATCAACTTGGGCACATCAAAAAAAACAAATCAAACGTCAAGCAGAAGACTTGGGCGGTGGTTGAGCCACTCACCATCTTTCCTCGGCCAAGGCACCCAACAATGCACCCAATGTTTGCTGGTTAAATCATGTTCAATCGCCTTTTTCGGTGCTTAACTCCAATTTTTTGCCCCATTTTTGATGGTTTTAAGATGTTTTAAGCACCAAGAACCATGTTAACCAGAGATCAAGCCACCATTCAATGCCTGGCCCGGGTTTCCCGACACCCCAGGCGATACGCGCCGGACCCCGGACCCGCTCGGCGGGCGCATAGACGGCAACGTCCTGATTTGGGATCCAAGAAGCAATGGACGTATGGGGGTAGCCCAATAACTGGATGGTTTATCATGGACAATCCCATGAAAATGGATGATTTGGGGGAACATTTCAGGAAACCCCCATTTAAATCTACTGGTTTCTACGGTAAAATCCGAGCATAGAATGGATGGGGCCCCGGGCCCCATTGGAAAAATAGTCTAAGATGGATCCATAGCCACTGTCTGAGAAGCTACGGCGTGGCTAACCCCCGAGGAGCTAGTCATCATACCCCAGTCGTACTTCCGTTCAGAAGCTACGGCTGGATCCATAGGGATTGATAATCTTCATTAAATCCATTCATAATCCATCAACAATCCATAGTTAATGGGGTTTACAAACCAATTTATACATTCTTATAACTGGGAGGGGCCACGAGGTGGGGCCCTCTAAGTTGGTTACCCCCATTCGCTTGCAAGAAACCCGATTGCAGGTATAAACCAACTTAGCGAACTATGGGGCGCCACCTTGTAGCTAAGTTGGTTGATAATTTGGTGAACTGTTGGGTTTGAGGGTGATATAAATAACTATAGTTATAGTATCCCCGTGTGAATTAAGTAAAAAGGGTGGGTGGCGCCATTCTATAGTGGACCGGGGGGGGGCTAGAAGTGGAACATCTAAAGAATGGAGCCCCAAGCTCTAAAGAATGGATGGGCCAGACTAACATATCATAACAAATCTCTATAGAATGGAACCCCAATCTCTATAGAATGGAACCCCGAGGGTCCTACAAACAGAGGCATGTCTATAAAATGGAGGACCAGGTGATTGGCTTGAAAAGTGCTTCATTTCATTTTTTCCCTTTTTTTCCCTCTAGGAAATGGTGGACAGAGTTGTTGTAAAATTATGTGAACATTTTGCTTGTTTTGCAGTATCTGGGGATACCATTCTTTAGTAGTTGTCTGGATATTCTTGATCGACCTTGAAAACGTTCAAAGTTCCATTCTTTAGAGTTTTTGGATGTTTTTGGGTCCGTTATGGTCCGTTCAACAACACCAACCAGTGCCTATGGGTTCCATTCTATAGTATATAGTGATTTGATGTGATTTGTATGGGCCCTTTTATCCCCTGCCTAGGTTTGAGACAATCTTTGCCTCGTGAAATATATGTTCTTAGAATTTCTTAGAATCTAAAGCACCTTTCAACACCTTTGAACATCTTTGAGCCAGTGGCACAAAAACATAGCAAATACAACATAATTAGATGTTCATTTTTGTACATATTATATATATAAATTATTATTTGATATTACATATGATATTATATGTTTATAATATGCCAGTGTTTCCGCACGTTTTTTCTATAAAATGGAGGGCCCCAGCGCATACCCCTTGTCATTGAACCAGTGAGCTCTAAAAAATGGAGGTGCCCAGGGCACACCCCTTGATGTCATTGAACCAGTGAGCTCTAAAAAATGGAACTTCGTTTTTTCTTGGAAACACACAACTAGTGTCTAACGAATGGGACATTGTAAATTTAGAGGTGATCCCAGATGATAACCCCGAAATTTAGAGAATGGAACCCCGCACTTCCACCAGATCAGGTCAAATAGCGACCAATACGCCTCTAAAGAATGCATTTGGTCAAAGATGGGCAATCCATAAAATTCAGCTCTCTAGGAAATGGCGCCGCCCAGGGTCACCATTTCCTAGAGGATATTCCAAGGGGGATGTTATAGTCATAGTTAATGGGGTTTTGAAATAGACTTATAGCTGGGCGGCCACCTTGCGCCTTGTGACTGTATGTAAACACATTATATATATATAATATAATTATAATCGAATAAAAAATTATGTTAGTTTCCATGTGCTGACAACAAAAGTCTGTGCATGGAACCTTAACCCGTGAAGCAGTGCACACTATTATCATTATTAAGCATTGCTGGCTTCGAGTTTCAACAATGAGTCAAACAAATGTAGCATATATTGTTCAACAGCCTGGGCATGTTGGGCAAACTAGAGCTTCCAAAGCAAAAGAACCGGGAGTACAGTCTTCAACATACTACCCACAATATATTCCCGTAAAGTCCCTACATAACTCGGCTTCCCCAGTCCCCAAGCACCCCCAGGGGCCCTACCTTTGATTGCCTTGTGTCCATGAGGAAGCAGTCACCGTTCTCTCCAGCAGCTGCCAAAAGCCTAGCTGTACTGGGTTCTGCCAGGGTTCAGTACAAGTCATGTGAAGATTTGCCCACATGTATCCCAAAAATAGCCAAATGTGGGATACAGCCAGCAACCAAAAAAAAGGATACAAAAGTGAGAAACTTGGAAAAGAAGTATATATGTACATGGAACAAATGGGAGATGCAAGCCGCTTGAAGTGCAAGCACTTAATTTTTCCGTCCAAAACAAAAATTCGCGGTCGCCTGCGAAGTGCATGACGCATGACACAATGACAGCCCAACTTATTCTCTACATACCCTAACCTTTCAGTTACCTCTGAGATACGGAATTTACCTGCAATTTATTCAGGAGTTGGTTCCCTATGTGACAAGTAAGTGGAAGGTGAGGGATACATTAGAGCTCATCGGCTCATCTTGGGGAATTTGGCAATGTGGATACATGCAGATACCAAAGGACCTTTCAAGTTTCCAACAATTCGATCCTTCAACCAGATGCGGCTCTTGCTCAGATTGTACAGGATGGTTGATGCTACTCTGCTACTAAATGCTCCAAAACTAAACTTTAAATCACTATCAAAAGCATAAGATGTAAGACATGACCAATCTATCAACATCACGAATCCATAAAAAAAACCAGTCTTGTCTAAACGCTTGGTCTTTTCTTTTCGGACACCCATATGCTCCATGTATGGAATATTTACCTACATTTACCCCAAAAACGACCCAAATGTATATAGGTAAATATTCCAGCACCATGGTTCGCATCTGGGACATATATAAGACATATATAAGACAAATTTTCAGACGATGTCAAGGACAAATACACTCTGGTAATTTAACATAACTATGGAAAATCACCATTTTCAATGGGCAAATCCACTATAAATGGTGATTTTCAATAAGACTGGGGCTCGAGGTGCCTTCCAGCGGGCCCGTCGGCCCATTCCAAATCCTCGAGGGTGGGGTCTTGCCATGGTCGATTTAGCCCCGAACTTTGCTGCACTGGAAGTTGGTCATCGGGTCAGTCTGGTGGCTAGTATGGTTGCGTTTGATGAGGGAGGATGTAACCATTTGATGTCTTCTGTTGTGACAAAGCACATGTTCAGTTTTGCTGGTGGAATTCCAAAGGGAAAGCTTACTTACAGCTTGTTAAATGTCCGGGTTTCGAATCCATCCCCAAGACCGGTTTTGGTCGCTGACTGTGAGAGCCACCTGCTGTACCATGATACATGTAGTTGGGAATCCATCAGGGACACCATCGAACTTTGTGCTGGGCTCGGTGGAATGGGCCAAGGCCTGTTGAGTGTTGGTTTTCGACCAGTTGCTGCCTGTGACCAGAACGGGCGCATGCTTGACCTTTACAGGTCCCAGCTGGACGTGCCTTTGATCTGTGGTGACATTGCTGATTTGTCCACAGTCAAGAAACTGTGGGATGTCTACCCGAAATCAGCGACCATTTGCGCTGGTGTGTCATGTCAGCCATATTCGTCCCTTGGGGACAAAGGAAGCGGAAGTGACCCCCGCGCTCGCAGCTTGCCAGCCACCCTGGCATGTGCCCATTTTCTGAGAGCAGTTGTTGTGATCTTGGAATGTGTCAGTCCTGCTCAGCAAGACACATATGTTCGCATGCATATAGATCGTTTTTGTCGAAAAACGGGTTTTCACTGCACTGAGGAAGTCCTGAGGCTTCAAGACTGTTGGCCATGCTCCCGCAACCGATGGTGGGCCATCTTGTCTGCACCAGCCTTGGGCCCCATCCAGTTTCGACAAATGCCGGCGTACTCAGAATGCAGCCAGATCCAACATGTGATGCCGTACATCATTCGATGGCCTTTCAATCATGAACATGACCTTGCTTTGACCCATGCTGAAAGAGTTGCGTTCCAGGTGGATCATGAAGAAGGATGTCCTTACCTGATGAATAGGTCTGGCATCCTTCCTTGTCCATTGCATGCTTGGGGGTCTCAATTGCGGGCATGTCCCTGTAAATGCCGTAATGCCCCCCTGTCAGCTGAGCGCCTTTTGCACCGGGGTTTGTTTGGGGTTGTGCTCCGATCTGCTGCTGATCGTGATGGCCAGAGTACCCCAAGACATATTCACCCTTCCGAATGTGCTGCTCTTGTTGGTCTGGACCTTGCTGCAGACTATGGAGAGAATGTCCTTTTGACGTTGGCAGGCATTGGACAGATTGCCTCACCTATTCAATCCACATGGGTTGGAGCACACGTGATCAGTCACTTTGCCTGGCTCAAAGATGGATCCAAACCATTCCATCCTACTGAGCATTTGAATGCATATAGGAGTTGGCTCCTTGCTCGATGCAGGATTTTGTGGCCGGTTGATGTTGCTCCCCACACTACCCTGAATGCTGAGGCCAAACTTTGGGAATCGGTTGTTTTGCCCAAACTGCATGACCTTTTGCACATGGATGAATGGGATTTTTTCATGACTGAGCGATGTCTTGCGGCAGTGATGAGCCAGCTCAGGGAACAGCCTCCACCAGAGGAAATTGCACGACCTCAACATGCTGCCACAGCAATGGATGAAGGTAGCGCCATGACTGACAGTGAGCCTGATCCTGAAGTCCCGGCCGTTTTTGCCGAAGTTCCAAGGTTTCATGTTGTGCATGTCCCAGAAGGTTGCGCTGCCATTTTGTACCCGCCTGATCACTCTGTGTCTTTTGTGCGCATTGAGGCTGGCACCACGGTGCAACAGTTGCTTGAGGCTGAAAGTAGATTGTATGGTTTTGAATGGACCCAGGTCTCTGCATTTAAGATGGATGGTACCCTGTGGCAGTTGCGTGACACCATTTGCCCTGGCCAGTTGGCTCAGATGTGTTTCATCCCTCATGTCCATGCAGGTGACCCAGAGTACTTCGGTTCTCGCATGCAGGTACCAGGCTTCCCTGGTGAATGTGGCCAGTTGCCTATGCAGATTTGTCACACTGACCATCCAGGGGAATCCGGGCTACTCCCCTTCAAATTGCCCGTGAATGATGCTGCAAGGGTCTTTTGTGCTGGTGATGCCTTTCCCAGGAGCCTTCATGATGATGTGGGGTCTACTGGACCTGAGGTTGGGGAATACGGGCCACTCCCCTTCAAATTGCCCGTTCCATGCCATGAAATGTCTGGTCTGCATGATGGCGCCACAATTGGGGAATACGGGCCACTCCCCTGCAAATTGCCCGTTGCCGAAACTGCTGCAGAGTCCGGTAGCTCAGATGGAGTGCCATTTGCACCAATGCCTTTGCCTGAACTTGCCATGACCCGCCCCGGGGAATCCAGGCCACTCCCCTTCAAATTGCCTGGCAGTAGTGACTCCCATGTTGCCCCTGCGTCCAGTGCAGGTGACCGATCGGATGTGATTCCCTCTGCTGAATCTGATGAGGTTGCACCCAGTGACAGACCGCATGTTGTTTCACCCCCAGACGAGACAAAGAGCTCAGTTGCACTTGATGGCAGTGTCCGTGTCTTGCATCCGAATCAGCCAGGGCAGTCCTTGCCATGCAGCCCTCATGCCTTGGACCATCAAGGGGAATCTAAGCCGTCCTCTAAGCCAATGCCTGTTTTGCATGGAGGTAGTGCCCCAACAGACCCCGTTGCTTGTAATGCCACGACCATGCATGCTGCCCCACCAGCCGGTGGTGTACCGCCATGTGCATCCGTTGCCCGTAGCCCCCTGGTTTACCTTGACGCTGTAGGATTAGGTCGCATGCAGTGCTCCTTTCCCACCACCCAGGCAGTGGTCAATTCCATGCGTCAACAGGTCCTTACTGTTGAGGATCGCAAGCTCATCTTGGACAGGCAAGGCGCCCTGTGGGCAGATGATGAAATTGCGTGGCACTTAGCCAACATCCAGCGGCTCTGTGCACCATGCCTTGAGCTCACCGTGATTGACCCCCTGTTGGTCTTTGGTTGGGTTCATGTTGGGTTTGACAATTTCCATGATTGGCTTCGGCAACATTGCCCAAAACCGTGTACCATTGCCACTGTAGTGTATGCCAACCAACATTGGATCCCAGCCTTTTTGAAGCCTATGAATGGAACCTTGTTTGCTCACACGTGGGATTCCCAACAAGCAGACCATGGATGTTTGGATGCCCTCTTTGCCCACCGGGCAGGTCACTTTGGCTTGCGTGATCACCAACACATCCGCCTTGTCCGTATGTTTGACATGGATGAGGGGTGTGGTGCTATGGCCATTGCCTTCCTGGCCCACACGGCATTGAATCGCATGCTCCCCAACACCCCATATGAAGTGGTTGAATTCCATAACAAGCTGCGAGAACAGTTCTGTCTTCAGGGTTTGATTGGTGGGGTATGCTCCAAGCCATGGTTATGGGGTAATGGCCCAATCCCTCAGGTTGAACAAGAGTTGGCTGCCTTTCTCATTCAACAAGGTGTTCCCGTGGAGCAATCAGCCAATCGAGCCAAGTCTGCTCTACAGGCCATTGGTGCTGCACCCATTGCAGAAGCACTGCAGTCGCGCATTCCTTGGAAGCAATTGAAAACTTTGGGGAACCAAGTCAAGTACCAGTTCCTGTTGCCCAGCGAGTTGAAAGCCAAAATTGCAGGTGTTGCTGGCAAGACAGCCATTGGACGCCCCAAAGGAGGCAAGAAAAGCAAACGGGTCCCACAGGAAGAGGCGCCACTTGAGTTGGACCCTACCAAATTTGCTGTTCAACCAGGGGTCTTTCAAGCAGCCAACCATCCGCTCACACAGATCCAGCTTAGTGATGTGGGACCTTTGGCTGAGGGTTTTTGTTTTGCAACTAGAAAAGAAGCGGAGCCATATCTGAAACATGGCCAGCCGGTTAGCCAGCTGCCGCTTGCCCTGTTGATTCCACAGTGCAGTGGGTCTGACATGGTCACTGCATTGCCCAGCTGTATGCTCACAGTCCCCTGCCGATGTGTCGTCAATCAGGAGCCGCTTTTGGTTGATGTGATGATGGTTCAGATTGGTCAGGGATTTGTTGAAAAAGCCATGAGTCCCCAAACTCTCAAGGTTGATGCGGTTGAAGCTGGGGCCCTCAAGCTGATTGTCTTTCGGGATGAAATTGAAGGCTCATGGGAGTCCTTCACCCAAGCTCCCATGCGGTATATTGTCCACCACATGCCACTGCTGCGCCTGTGCAAGGAGGAAAAATGTACGTGTCCCCACTGGCATAATCATGAAGGCCTGGACACTTGTGATGCCCTGTTGGATGTGTGGAGACCCCAGTACTTGAAGCCGGGGTACCGACCTGACAACCCCTCCAGTGCATCCATGTATGGTGTGTTCATCCGAACACCCATGTGCTTGGTTCAGCCACTTTTGAAAATGAGCGGCGTTGCTGGCATTTACACAGAGCCCCGCACCATTGATGGACGTTCCATTGATGACACATATGCCATTGTGTGGTTGGCCCGCATGGGCCGTGAGGCCTTGAACCATGTTTGTCGTACGAACCCCGCTGCCATCGGTCTGGCCCGAGTGGGTGAGAGAATGGGAATCCGAACAAGCGCAGCTGAAGCTGCCAATCTGAGCAAGACACTGCGCCCTGATGCAGTGTATCTCGCAGCTGGCCCTAAGCAGCAATTCTTGGCCGGTCCCTTCCCATTTGGATCAGATCGGGGACATGTCCTGAAGGCCCTACGGGCCATGCAGTGGGAGGCTAGACCTCTCCAGCCATTGTCCTCCATTGACAACAAGGGCTCCATGTGGCTGATTCAGGCGACAGAATGCCCCCCATCTACGTTGATACCGATGAGCCATGGGGATGTTGTTATCTCAATGCACAAGGCAGCTCGAGATACACCTGACCTGCCACAGAGGCCCATTGCCTCCAATGCAACCATTGCGCTCTGTGGCTCACAGGCCCCTGCCAGTGGATCCACCGGTAGTACTGACCCATGGCTGACAACTGATCCATGGGGTGGGTATGCCCCATCCAATGCACCCAAGCCCGATGTTTCACAGGGCTTGCAGCAGATCAAGTCGCAAATCCGAGAAGAGGTGCTCAAAAGCCTCCCGACCCCAGAGACTAACATGGAAACTGATGACACCCTTGACCGTATCCAGTCTTTGGAGAGCCAGATGCAGACCCTCATGCAGAAGCATTCCACGCTGGAGTCCAATGTGATTGAAACGGCAAATCGCCAGTCCCAACAGCTGGCATCCGTCCAGAGTCAGCTGCAGGTGCAAGGAAGTGAACTGAGAGGGCACATTGAGACCCAGCAACAGAACCTGCAGGCTCTTTTCGAGTCCCAGATGTCCCAGATTCGCGGTCTCTTGAAAAGGCCACGCGATGACAATGAATGATGGTGCGGGGCGGCCGCCCTGACTGGCTTCAGTACCTGGTTGATTGTTGCAGTGCTTTTGATTGTACTGGCTAGTCGATGGCTGCTGAGCCCCATTTTGCCCACGATTTTGGTTTTCATGTGCATTTTGCCATGTGGTGCAGGCCTCCAACTTGGCCTCAGACACCGGTTTCACAAACCCCGATCGCAATTTATTTCACAGTTTGTGTTCCTGGTTCTCCTGATGAATGGGGTTCGTTTTGGAGAAGCAAAGCATCCAGGACCTTCGAATGATTCATGTGTTGACTCTGATACTTTCTGCATTGGGTGCTTCAACCCTACGGGGTTAGCTGGCAAGGCGGCAGTGATAAATGAGTACTTGGCTTGGGGTGATGTTTGGTCAATTGCCGAGACCCACTTATCCACTAGGTCCTTGTCGTCGTTCCGCAGAGGTCTTAGTGTCACCCAATCTCCTTTTCGATTTCTTGCCTCGGGGTTCCCAGTCCCCGTCCGACAGCATTCTCAGAGCTCTGGAACCTGGAAGGGCGTAGCTGTCCTAGCCAAACACCCGACCAGGTCAGTGCCAACAGGTTGGGACCCCGACATTGCCAGATCAGGGCGTGCCATGGTGAGTGCCACTTTGCTGCATGACATGTGGATTACCGTTGGAACCATTTATGGTGAGTCTGCTGGTACTTGGCACCCTAATCATCTTTTGCACACCAATCGCATTTTGCAGGCGGTGGCCACACAGGTTTGTCTCAATGCAAGCGGGTTGAGGGTCGTCGCTGGGGATTTTAATGTAGGTGAAGATGATGTCACTGCATTCAACATCCTGCATGCTACCGGGTTTAAAGATCTGCAAACCCTTGCGTGGGAAAGGTGGGGATACTCTATCTCCAACACGTGCAAGAGTTCCACAAGGGTTGACTTCTGTTACATCAGCCCTGAACTTCAACAACTTTTGGTTCGCACCACCATTGACCCAAGCATTTGGCCTGACCACGCAGTCTTAGCTGGATTCTTCAAGGGGACAAACCGTGATATACCCAGGTATGTGTGGAGGCAGCCCCAGCCTGTTGCATGGCCCCAGTTTGAAGTCCACCCGGTTCAAGCCATCCAGGCAGGCCAAGAAACTGCCCAATACCGCCAGATGTGGGCTGTGATTGAGGAAACAGCCTCTCGTGCGAGCCCTGTGCCAATTGGCAAAGCATCCAGAGGCCGAGCTCAGACATTGAAACCACGGAAAGTTGTGGGACATGCCCATGCTCCTCTCCGGGCCCCAAGAGCTGGTGATGTGCAGCCTTCCTACTTTGGAATTTCCCTGAAACATGCTCATTGGTATCGACAGGTGAGACGCCTGCAGGCTTTTGTCAGGTTTGTGAAGGTTAGGAGACCCACAGCTGACCCGTCCCATGCGGGCTCCACTTGGGGTGCCATTAAACGTGCCAAGGGTTTTGAACCAAGTTTTGCAGACTGGTGGAGACACAGCACCACTCGTGTTCATGGAGCCCCTGCTGAGCTTCCTGAGCATCCACCTGACCATGGTGTTGCCCAAACCATCTATGATACCTGCCTACTGGCCTTGCGCAAACTTGAACTTGATTTAAGGCGATCGAGCCGGGCCCATGCCAAAGCACGACGTCTGGCTAACCCCCAGCTCATTTTCCAGGACATTCGTGTTCCTGGCCCTGAAAGCCTTGATTTGCTGATTTGCCCAACCCAGGCGAAGGTCATTCATGTAGATGCTGACATGGGTTGCATCCAAGTTGATGCGTCTCGAGCGTGGGACTTGACCCACCCAGTATATGTTGATGGTCATCCTTATGATGTGGTACACCATGAAGAGGATTGGCTTTGGCTGGACCCAATGAATCAACTGTCCATTGGGAATGTTTGCACCCAGGTGAAATTCACTGGTGCTTTGGAAGACCTTTTTGCTGAATTCCAAACCACCTGGTCCAAACGTTGGGACCGCCATAAGCATGTCCCAGAATCTCAATGGAATGACATCCTCCAGTTTGCCCAGAAGTTTGCACGACCCATCCAGTGTGTCTCAGGTCCGATGACTGAAGCTGATGTACGCGCTGAACTGCGACGTAAGAAGACCCGCACTGCCAAAGGTCTTGATGGGGTTAGTTTGGCTGATTTGAAGCATATGCCCTCTGGGGTCATCCAAAGCTATTGCCGCTTCTTTGAACATGCTGAACTTTGTGGTTGTTGGCCCCGTCAACTTGCTGTAGGAAGGGTTGCTTCCATAGCTAAGACCCCCACCCCAACCGGGGCTGCCGATTACAGACCCATTACAGTGCTAAGCCTGGGATACAGAGTTTGGAGCTCCTTCCACTCTCGCAATTTGATTGCTGCATTGGACCCCTGGCTCCCTGCAGGCCTTTTTGGGTCTCGTTTGGCTTGTCACTCAGGTCATGTCTGGTCCAGCATCCTGCTTGCCATCGAAGAGGCCAACGAATGTGCCATCCCCCTAGCGGGAGTTGTCTGCGACATTGAGAAGGCATTTAATTGCCTTAGCCGCACTGTTGTGTTTGCAATTGCCACCCTCTTGCAGATGCCAATGAATGTGCTGACAGGGTGGGCAGGTATGCTTACTCAGGTCTCCAGACACTTTGAAGTCCGACAGTCTTTGTCCCCGGCCACATATAGTTGCACAGGCTTCCCTGAGGGGGATGGTTTATCGGTGGTTGCCATGATCCTTTTGGATTGTGCCTTGCATTGGTGGATGGAAGAAGGGACCAGATTGTGCCGCACCCTCACCTATGTTGATGACTGGCAGATGCTTCTTCAAGACCCCAACCATGTCACGCATGCAATGCAGAACCTTGAACATTTTTGCAGAATGGTGGATCTCAAGTTGGACCGTAAGAAAACGTATGTATGGTGCCTGACCCGAGAAGGCAGACAAATGCTCCGTTCCCAGGGGTATCATGTTGGTCATGGAGGCCGCAATCTTGGAGCTCATTTGCAGTTGACGCGACAGCACACCAACTCAACCCTTCAAGAGCGCGCCCGCTCCCTTACTGAACTGTGGGATCGGCTTAGACTTTCAAGTAGCCCATACAAGCTCAAGGTCCGTGCCTTGACTGTCGCAGCATGGCCTAAAGGGTTACATGGTGTTGCATCAACAGCCCTTGGAAGTCATTGGATTGCCAGACTGCGTTCGGGAGCGATGCGAGGATTGCAAGCCGATGGTGCGGGCTGCAGCCCCTGGATCCATTTAGGCCTCATTGAAAATCCACTATGCGACCCAGGCTTTTGGTGCATCATGCAGACCATTCGTTGTATCAGGGATAGTGCTACAGCTGATTTCCTGAAGCCGGTCCTGACACGTTTGGTGACTGAACCTTCCGGGGTGCCTGCCAACTCATTTACCCATACCTTGTTAGCTAGGGTGCAGAAAATTGGATGGTCGCTGCGGGATGATGGTAGGTTCCAAGACAGCCTTGGTCCTTTTTGCCTGTTTCAGTCCAATTTCTTGGATATCGAAGCCCGGGCCGCGATGGGCTGGCAAGGGGTAGTTGCACAACAAGTCAGCCACCGTCAGGGGTTGCAAGACTTGCAGTTGGCTGATGTCAGATCCACACGTTTGTGGCTTGCGGCACAGGGAGCTGAAGATGCGGGCCATTGTCGAAAGTTGCTCAACGGAGCTCATTTCACTGCTGATGCCAAGCAGTATTGGTGTGATGAACCGACTGGGATATGCCCATTTTGCTCTTGTTCTGACTCCCGATACCACAGGTTTTGGCAATGTGAGATGTTTTCAGCTTACCGCAGTCACGTTCATCCTTTGGTTTGGAGCATGATTCCGCAGCTGCCTGAGTTTCTTACTTGTTTTGGTTGGAGCATCATGCCTGCCACATGGAAACCATTTATGCAATCCCTCCTTGACATTTGTGAGCCTGCACCTGACCTTTCGTGTGCTTTGCCGGCTCATCAGAACTGGGTTGACCTTTTTACAGATGGCTCTTGCCAATACCCACATATGCCGTGGCGATTGGCAAGCTGGGCTGTTGTCCAGGCTGACCCGACACAACTTGAGGTTGAAGCCATGCGATCTGTTGTTTTAGCTGCAAGCCCACTTCAGGGAATGATTCAGACTGCCTTTCGTGCGGAGCTCAGGGCTGCAGTTGAGGCATTGCGGATTGGCAGGGCTCTTGGATGCAAAGTCCGCCTCTGGTGTGATTGTCAGGGCATTGTAAGTAAACTGCATAAACTCCAGAATGGCAAACTGCGTATCAAGCCTAACTGTCGTCACTCAGACCTGTGGATTGAGTTGGCTGAACTGGTAACCGAACTAGGGGCAGGCTCCCTCATTGTCACAAAAGTTGCAAGTCACCAAGATGGCCTTCGCGCTACCACTGCTGTGCATGGATGGTGTTTTGTGAACAATGGTTTGGTTGACCATGCTGCCAAGGTTGCTCATTTGTTGCGACCACATGCTTTTCTTGAACTACATGAACAGTACATTGCTGACACGCGTTTTGCCATGTTTGTTTCACGTGAGGTGCAAGAGGTTCTTTTAGCCATCAGCCGCGCAGTGATCCAACATCAGACCGCTGCCGATGAAGAAGCCCACGGCCAAATGGTAGACGCTGTGCCTAAGCTTGCTGCTGATGGTGGAGACTTTGGGCCTTTGGATCCTCAGCCTTGGGTTTCAGCTGGCATGTGTACGAAATTTGGAGAGCGGATTGTCTGTCAGATTGCAAAATGGTTTCAGAACGCGCGCGAATCCTTTTCTAACTCTCATGCTCATTGGATTTCCTTCTACCAGTTGTATGTCGACTACATGTTGTGCAGTGGTGAAGGTGGTCCAATCAAGCAGGACCGATGGACTGACCCGGGCTCTAGGCCCAATGCAGACCTTTTGGATATTTCCTTTAAACTGCGATGTCGATGGTTTACCCATTTGGTTAAAGAGCTCTGGAAGCTATGGACCTACAACATCAGAGTTGCGTTCACACGGCCACATTCTGAAACACTTATTTTGCATGCCTCGTGCGCTTGGCTCCCGTGGCCAATGGACAGGCTGGATTCCATTGAAGCTTGGATGAGTGCGCGTCTTCAGGGACCGGCCAAACGTGACGGCCGGCTGCTTCGATTGCCGACGGCAGTCAAAGACTGCAACATGCCTGGAATCTCAGGCACAATGGAGGTAAGGTAAGAATCCTGCGTCCTGAACGTTTCCGCTAGAGCTGACTCGTTGAGACGCAAAGGAAAAGGAAAAATGGTGATTTTCAATAGCTATGTTAGTTTACCAGAGGGTAATCCCATCCCTTCCCCATCCCTTCCTCCCCATCCCCAGGCATCACCGCCTATTTGGGCCGAAGGCCACGTCTGAGAGCGGTTGACCCAAATCGATAGCCTGGGGATGTCCATCCGAGGTACAAGCAGCCTGAAACACATAGAATCTATGGGGATATGTAATCTGGATATGTACTGTATCTATTGATATCTATTGTATCTATTGAATTTTTAATATTCCATAATATTCCCATGTACTTTCTTTGAAACAACCCATATTCTATCATATTCTATCTACTCCAGGATGACTATAGGAATGGAACAGCACGATGTTTAATCGGTACATCATCGAACTAAATGGGCCATGGCTTCCATATGCATCCAGCCATACCTTCTGAGGGAGTGTAACTGGGGTATGATGACTAGAGAGTGAGCCGTGCCTTCTCAGACTGTGCTTGGATCCACAGGGAATATACCCTCTGGCTATTTAACATAGCTATGGAAAATGGTCCATTTATAGAGGATTTATGATGATTTACATATCAAAAATATTCAAACATGGTGATTTTCCAGTTCGCTACATTAAATCACCAAACGGTATTTCAAGCATGTTGGGAAGACCCGTGTGGGAGATCTAGAGTTATGGGGCCATTTCAAGCCACATCCCAACCTGATTTCTACACGTCTGCAGAAATAAACCCCAATAGTGACAGGTGAAAATTACCTCCAAATGTCTGGTGAAACTTTCAGACTTTCCGAATTGGTTTCAAAAATCAACACACCATTATTGACAGAGGATTTCCTCTTCACTATGGTGAAACAACGACTTTCCGAATTGGTTTCAATGTTTTTTTCACTGGTAATCTAAACATAGCTGTGGAACGTTCCACAGCTTTGGTTTAACGAGCTGGTTTTGCCATCGAGCCGTCGGCCATCAAAACCTCCACCGAAAACGACGTTTTCGGAAAATCATATCGGATTGGCTTAAGGAAAATCGAAACCGGAAGACCATGGGTTTTACCATGGGTTTTTACCATAAACATATAGCTGGTGGTTTTACCATAAACATATAGTTGGTGGTTTTACCATAAACATATAGCTGGTTGGTGGTTGACCCACCCCTAGAGCTGAAAAATTATGGAGTTCGTGAAATGGGATGATGACATTCAATAACTGAATGCAAAAATCATCCATTCATGTTCCAAAGCACCAACCAGCTGGGAGTTTCCTGTGAGTTTTTCCCTCTTATTCCACTCCAATAAATTCAGCCATGTTCAATGCTATGAACTTCAACCATCTTCAAGCACCTGTCTTCAACCACGGCCCGTTTCGCACGGTTGTGTTCTGTTCCCACCTGCTGCATGGTGCCCGTTTCCATGTCCCAAAGGTTACAGACCCCGTAGACGTCCGCAGACCTCACCGAGGTTTGGTTTGCAGCTCCCCATCTTTTGAGGATTGATGTTTAACCATGTTTGACCATGTTTAACCATGTTTAACCACATCCCCCTATGAAACATCATGAAACAACCCCCGGAAACCATGGTTTTTCATAGGTTACAGATCATGTGGGACCCTTGAGGGGTTGTGATATACTAGGCTGTTGGGATCAGACAACCTTTCGAAACATAGGAAAATAGAACTATCATGAGCAAACATGCGGTCGAAACCACGGTATTAAGAAGATTTGAATGGACTGAAGCAAGAGGAGGATTCAGTGAAGAAAAACTTGGATTTTTACACGATGCTTCACTGCTGCGAAAACCAACCAACCACAAAATATGGCATAAAATTCACCCACACGTTGACCTATCGAAACATGTCCATCCCTTTTCTCCCATGTATTGACCATTGAAATAGCTAGATGCTTAGGAAGCAGATTTGGATCGATTTGGTAAATTCCAATTCGAATCCCAAAAAACACAGTTGCTCTGATTGCTCCCCATGAGCTATATAATGTTAATAAATATTATATCCTCCATAAACCCAACAGTTCACCAAGTTATAAACCAACTTCGCTACAGGCTTTCCGGACCTTGCCCATGCCATGGCTCCCTTGGGGTTCCATCTATTGACCTCCCGACCAAGCGAAGGCACACCATCTGCACCCCAGCAGTGACAGTACTTGAAGGCCTGAGCAACATGGAGATTTCATCAGAGATGGGAATTCCCAAAGATTATGTAAGGACATTTGGTCAATTATCATTGCCAATCTTAGATACCCTGCAAAAAAATAAATTCTTTGCTGGTTAGTTGATATTCCCATTGATACCAAAAGACTAAAGGATTAAAGTATCCATGTAAGATTGACCTAGTTATGAAATAACCTGATATACACTTGGAGTATATCTATGGAACATGGCCCATTTAGTTGAGTATGAGTGTATCTATATAACAATATATAACAAGAAAAGTGGATTGAGAAACCCAACTACCACCGAGTTCGCTATGGAACATGGCCCATTTGGTTACATGATTCACCTCTAAAAAATGTTAATTGTCCATAGCCATGTTAAGTACGAGAAGGTAACAATGTGGGGAGCGGAAATTCTCAGCAAACACCTGAAATTATTCTGAAAATTGCCATTGAAACGCCTTGGTGCGTCAAAGCAGGAGAGTAACAAAAATAACCCACCTGGTGAAATATTTCTTCGAACTGTTTTTTTTCTCCATATTCTTCGATCTAGCGGATTTGAAGGCTCGAACAAACCAAGCACTTAGATTTCCACAAACATTTACAAACAACACTACCCTCAGGTTTGCTCAAACGTGGCTGGAAAATCTAGCTATAGTTCGATGATTTTCCCAAAACTGCTATCAACCTTTATATTCATATGGGATTTCCGTCGGGGGTTTTCCAGCCCCGTGCAGCTCATCTCCCCGCGTCCCCCGGCGATTCGATGGAAGCATCCACTGAGGTGATGGGAGTGCACCGCGCCTGGTTGGGGGTTTCACTATGGATAAAAAATGGTTAATATAATGTGAAAATAATGGTTAATATACCTGGTTACATAATATACTGTTAATAATGGTTAATAATGGTTAATCTGGTTGAGCCACCTACCATTGTGGTTAATATACTGTGAAAATAATGGTTAATATGAAAATGGTTATTATATGGTTAATGATGGTTAATAATCATCTGGTTGGTGGTTGACCTAGCCCTCTGAAAAATATGAAAGTCAATGGGAAGGATGACATCCCATATAGCATGGAAAATAAAAGCCATGTTTGAAACCACCAACCAGTATAATAATCATGGTCTATTATGGTGATCATATGGTAATAATAATGGTTATCACTATGGTTATAGCTATGGTAATATGGTATAATAGCTTATCTTTAAGCAGTGAATATCATCCGAACAAGATTTTCCACTCAAATTAGGGAAGGGGATGATCCACTGTGATTTGAATCCACTTCAAATGTACCAAAAAAGTGGTGATATAACTCACCCTTTAACTATAAGTGGTTAATATATAGTGGTTATAATTATATATAGTGGTTAATATAGGTTAGATAATTAACCACATTAGATCCACTGGGAGTTATATATATAACTCACCATTTAAGTGTTAATACTCCCACATTAGCAAAATAGTAGTGAATCTAATATATCACCACCTATTAAATGTAAAGGAGTAAATTATAGTTCACCCAAATGGTGAATCAATAGATATTAGATTCATGATCATTAGATATCTATTATTTACAAAATAGATTGTTACGGTTAGTATTAATATGGTTAGATATCCCAAACTCACCAATATCATTGATAATTATCAACCATAATCTATTGTTCAATGAGATAGCCTCTGGTAAACATACAAAAAGCTATTGAACATGGCCCAGTCGAAATAGTGAGTTTTCCCATGAAAAATGGTGGATCTTTCCAGTTCGCTACGTTAAATTCCCAGCGCAGCAACTGGCGCTCCAACAACTGCCGCCTGTGGATTGGCCTCGTGCCGCAGCAAGCGCTGCAGCTCCCCAGAGGCGCTCCAGATCTGCCGCGATTGATGGGGAGATCTATGGGATTTCATAGAGATTTGGATGCCAAGAGAGATATTCTATGGGATTTACCCTAGAAGTGGATCATTTCCACATACCCCAGTAATACTTAGTGTATGATGTGGGATTCGATTTGGAACCAATCATTCAAGAGAGATATTCTCAATGGGAATTTCAGGATCCTAAAATGGAGGGACCGATTCCATATATAAGGCCTATTGTTCAGGCCTATGTAAGGGGATATCCCCCCAAAATATGGCCTGAAAAATGGTACAGTACCTCCATTTTAGGATCCTGGAATTCCCATTGATATTCCATGGGATTTACCCTAAGAAGTGGATCATTTCCACATCATACCCCAGTAAGTTAGTGTATGATGTGTATATAGATTCTATGGAATATGATCTCCGGGTATATGTTTTAAAAGGATATACCCTCTGGTCTTTAGCATAGCTAACATAGCTATGGAAGTAATGACCCATGAAAATAGATGATCAGCATATTCTTCACCTATTAAAACGGTCAATGTCCATGGCTATCTTAAATAACCAGAGGGTAACTAACAGAAATTGGGATTGATAGTCATGAAATGTATCGAAGTGGCTATCCGTTTCACCGTAATATGATCAGTATGAATTCATGGTGGAGATTTTTCGTCACTCCAGTTGAATGGTTGAAACTACAAACACTACACAGGGAACTGCGGGGGAACCCACGTGTCGCGTTGTAGAAATGGTGGACGAGATTTATCATAACCTGAATTGCCATTTCCAGGGCGGAAGGAACGATTTCCATTTTCCTGACCCAATGCAAGCACTTACATATTCCTTTATGGACGATGTTCCGATATTAACGATATTAAGACAAGGAATTTCTCAGCCAACCACATTCATGATGACCAAACCACATCACCAG